TTCTTATGCACCTCAGTGACAGCACCACTGATTTCAAGAGACTAAGCTTAATTAGGGTTAATTCATGGTAAACAAGGGTCAGCTATTTGTCAGAAGAAAATATGTTTTTTTATTTAAAATTAAATATTAGCATAGACCAACTCCCTATGATATTATTTTTCAACTAAATGATATCTATATTTGTTTTGCAAAGTTTTAAGTCTTCTTTTTCTTCAGACACTACATTCCTGGTGCAGCCTTTAAATCCTGTGGGGTAAACCTGCTCCCTTTGTCCGTCTCTTTCCACCTCCCTCCGTCTCTCAGTTTAACGTCTGCAGAGACAAACAGGCCCAGGAAGCACTAAACAGCGTCCACTTACAGGATACAAGCACTAGTTGGTAATATGCAAGCAATCACTTGAATTAGCACAATTATAAATACACATTTAACAGCTTACACTGTTGCCCTTCATCATGTTAACTGACTACAACAAATAGAGTTCTCTGTTTAAATCATCATTGTAATTACCCTCACCATCAAATAGCTAACTAGAAGACCATCCGTTCATCAAATTATCATCATGCATGGCTGGCCAGCTACAGATATCAAAATCCTCCACTCTGCAGCTCTATCAGCGAGGTGAGGCGAGGTGTGGGGCGGTACATTTTCAGGACTGGTAATGACTTAAGGGGGTCAGAAGGATATCAGGAGCTGGCATGATAAGTGATGACACCCACATGGGAACAAGCTTAATGACTTTCTCTGTGAAGGGATCTGGCTGGTTTGGTCTGGGCAATTTTACTGCAGTGAAACAGAAAGGTCCAGAACAGCCTGACTGCTCAAATCACCAGAGAGTCTTTTTTGGTACTTTAAAATCTCTGTGCATTGCAATCCAAGTGAAGCATCATCGAGCAATGAAGCAAAATGTTCCCCTCCCTCTAAAGGCTGACACACTCACAGACTTAGAGCGGTTTGTCATAGCTAAACACACAAAGGAGATATTTTTACATCATTTCATTTATTACTTTTCTTTTTAAAGTTCTAAATGTATGAGACAAAGTAGACTTAATGAAAGCCTTTCTTCTACCTTAATACTCTGATAAACAACAATAGAAGAAAGAAACCAATCTCCTGTCTCAGACAGCTGAGTGCAGAGAGCCATTATTGATCAAAAACTCCCGGTTTTATTTTTACCAACAAGTCACTAAGATGTTCGATTGGATTCGTTTAACTTCAAAACACAGACCAATAATCAAGCAAATGTTAACCTGCCAGGGGGATCAAACGTATGTTCTGCTGAGGATGTGTAGTTTATAAAAGTAAATTGTGATGGTGAGGAGGGGGGTTAAAAAGGATTCCGTTAGTTTCGCAGACAACATAAAATACCATGACAACCCTCAAACACCAGGCTGTGGCAATGCCACAGATGCCGGTATAACACATCTTTTTTTACAGATCTATGGAAGTGTTCATGTTGTTCTCTCTGCCTCTTGACGCTGGCGAGAGGAGTTCACACACTCCTGTCTGGCAGTTGCTCAAGCGCTTACGTCTGAGTGGGGGTCCCATTTCATAGAGTCAGCACAGCAATGGCGACGTCTGTGGGGTGCACGGGTGTGTATTTTCACTGTTAAGCATTTCGTACTACCCAATGGCATACCCACAACCCACCTGGGCATTAAACACATACACAGGGAATAAAGTAGGCAGAGGAGACAGAGGCGCACATGAAAGACATGTCCCACAGCCTATCAGATGCCTGAAGGTCAACAGAAATGACATGCTGAGCCGTCAGTCAGCTTCCTATCAATGTGTGTGAGCGTGTGCTCGGGAAGAAGCGGCGCCACAGATAGCGCTTAATTGAAGGTTGAAGTTATCAGATAGCCTGCGACTCAGCTGTCAGTCAAGATTCAGTCACCATGGTGACGCTTCACAGTGCTCTGCACCACTGACGACATCAGGAAATGGCTGACTGAAGAATGTTGAGGGAGTGTGTTGACAGACACACGGGCAGACAGAATGATAGAGACACACTAACAGACACATGTGGGGCACACAGGCAAGCACACACAGGCTAGAAGAGGGACACACTTAAGGGAATTAGAGCAGAGGCGTGCTGGCAAGGCAAGTTATTTTGGTAGAATTGACATGCTGCCCTGCATCCAGGCACCAGGAAAGTGTAATTATCTACCGGTAGAAACCAGAGCAGGGGACACGTAGGTGAAACAGAGAAAGCCCCATCGAGCAAGCGTGACCTCAGCATGAGGATGTGGCGGGTAAAGGTAAGTGGGAGTTATGTTTTAAAATAAAAGTGGAAACTGAGAGGCAGGAAAGGGGATGGCGGGTGTCTTGAAATGACAAGGGGAGTGTGGAAAAAGGAAAAGATGGGGGAAATAGTACGAATGATGACAAATCTTTCATGGCAGGCGAGTTGTTGCCAAGAACACAAAACAGAGGCGACAACCATCATTGGTCCGTGCTTTTTTGGAAGAACCCAGAATTGCATCAACGAGACACACAAACACACAGGCGCACACACACATGCATTTGCCTTTTTGATAGGGGGAATCTGGGAAATCAGACGGAAATGTGAGAGGGGGAAAATATTCCCCAGTCTAATAATCAGCATTACAGTGTCCTCCCCTTCAAGCGGTGGGCAGCTGGGGATAGGAAGAGACATTTCTCTTTCCTTCGTATATCAGTAATTTCCCCTCTTGTTTTTCAAACTGATCCTACATCATCTCCGCTCTTACCCCACCACTAAATGATGCTAGTCTTTATCCTCCTTGAAAACAGGGTATAAAGTAATGCAGCTCAGACTGTTTGTTTCTTACACAGCCGACCACACGATTCGGAAATTGCGGTTAAAATGATGCAACACGAAATGTTATTCCCTTCTGCCTATGATGCATCTGCAAAGGGCAGTTGGAGCAGCAGTGAAAGGATTCCCTGCATAACATAATACGTTATGCAGTGTCACATTGGTAAAATTCAGATGATATTGACTTGAAAAAGGGTCAATATAATTCTAAGTAACATGTGCATGTAATTGTAGGTGGAATAACAGTTGTTGCACATAAACCATGTTCCAAACAGCAGACCTGTGGCTGCTTTCCCCTGGTTCAAATCAACACGTTCATAGATAACAAAGATCTCCTCTTTACTGCAGACTTAATGAGCACACATGGTGAAAGGGGTGTGCAGGTGTATACCAAAACAGAGTGGAACAATGTCCACGTTTTGCATCACTATGCGTTTTGCCTCTACTCGCACATCCTTGTGTACATACTAATGTGTGTATATATTAGTGTCTGTTAAGGTCATCAGTGAGTCATCTCGGCCACCAGGGGGAAGCCTAATTAATTAAGTAGCATTCCCGACACCTCGTAAACAAAATCCTGAGTTACAGCCCTGCACTGCACAGAGCAACATAGCCCGTAGAGCAAAGGGAACACAGAGGTCACCCGAGGACGCTGCACTTTTAATAGGCTTGTGTGTGTCAGTGTGTGAGAGTCGTTCCAGAAGTGTCTGCACAGCATCAGGTGGAACACTCTGCTCCACACATTCACACAGACCTTCTTCCGTCTCCTATAACATTTAACGGGCCATATACAGGGTTAGCACAAAACCCACACACATCCCACAGGATCCTATAGCAAAACATGTAACGTTTTTACCTTAGGTGTTTAAATATGATGCTCTCAAGAGAATAAACCTACTGGGTAATAAAACCGATTCTGATTAAGGGACAGCCCTAGGACCTGAGGTAGTGGCACCGGAGATGGAAGGTGCGGACTGTGTTGTGGTTGGTTGATTTAGCTTGAGTTCAGAGACTGGGCCTGGTCTTCGGCTGAGCTGGAGCTAAGCTGATCCACGTCAGTCCCTGGTGCCCTTTATCAATTCTGTCAGGGGGAAAATGCAATCCACGCCTGGCTGAGCCCTGCTCCGCTCCACAGTGTCTCTTATCCTTCGTCACCTCCCTCCATTCATTTCCTCACTGCAAGCGGCTGGGATTACGTCGAGAAACGCTGCTCCTCAACACGTGGAACAACCATTCATGTGGGTGCCAAAGATTACCATGATGGTGGCCGGCTGACCGTGGTCAAAACCTTGCACACACACTCCATGGCTCTTCTTATAGACACACACATCTGTCATTCCTCAGCTTTTATTGACTTGCTTCTTCAGAGTGGCCAGCATCCTCCTCATCTAGCATGATCGCTCCATCCTGTACTGTTGTTTCCCAGTTTATTGTGTACATGTGTTTCTTTAAATCCCAGAAAATAAATGTATTCCAGCATTCTGAGAATCCAAAAGATTTATATTTCTTTCCAACTGAATATTTATGGAATTGCACTTTACTTTTCGTGACACTCATCCTCTCCTTATCTCCCTCTCAGGACTAATCTACCGCCAAGTGGGCCCATAAACACCCCAGCAGTCCATGTTTTCCTGAGACAAGGACCAAATGAGCTTCTGCCATCTGATATATCTTAAGCAGGAGTCCATTAACAACTGAGTATACATGCTTTTTAGTCCAGCGACTGTTGTTTAACAAACTGACAAAAACAGTGGTGTTTTCCCCCCCATCATAATTTAAAAAAAGAGTAAAAAGAAGTCCGAACTACTATATATATATATATATATATATGGGTGGATTGCGCTGAGAATCGATCAAGATTGTCAAATATAAAGAAGAAGAAAAAATCTCAGCGCTGAGATTGCTCAACTATCGGCAGCTGTTATTCCAGTGATGACACCGCACAAAGATGCATTGCCAAAGACCAGAAGAATAACTACATGTGTTCACAAATTACACATTTTTAAATAATTACAGCTGCTGGTTTAGCTGTTGGTAAAAACAGAACAAATATCTGGTTTTCTTTGAACACTCAATACAGACATAGTATTAGATCTATTTGATCTGCCTCATAAGTTCTAAAACAACAAGAGAAATGCAGAGCTATAACTGAGACTTGCATACAGCAGCAATAGATTGTGATGTGTGTACAGCAGCGACTTACGTCAGGGTACTCTTTGACAGGCACAAACAGCTTTTCCTGCTGGTGGACGATGGGTCCGAGGGGCTCGGGCAGCTCCATAGGATGTCTTTCCACAAGGCCATTCACTGTGTCGCTGTACATGTCTTTGCGCACTCTGTTGATCTCTGAAACACATAAAACATACGTACACTGTGGTAAGCAACAGAGAAAAGAAAAAACAGCACAATCAAACATTTTCTTTTTTCTTGAGGTTTTGATGTATCACTGTCAAATTGATTTTGACTTCTGGGCAAAGGCTTAATGTAGCATATCAATCTCTGTTGTAAGAAAGGAAAGAGAAACGGCAGAAATGTGTCAAGTGCCTTGAGTATTGTTTGTCTTTTATAGATGAACAATTGTGTGAGGATATTTTGGAGAGTACTTCATAAATAAATACCCTAGCCTGCAACTGTAAAAAAAGAAAGACTGCTTTATACCTGGATATAACAAATGTTCGACTAAAAACGGAGAATCTGTGTTTGTGAACAACTTCTTCTATATGGCAGAGATAAAGTTAAGCACTGCATTATGGGAGGTTGAGGCCATTGTCTATTTTCTCTGCCTGCTTTTCCCCTGTGGCTGTTCTATAATAGAGCAGCCTGTGTGAGCGGCAGGGCCGGTGTGGAGAAGAGACGCAGAGAAGCGTTCAGGTATATGCCTTCAGATCTGATCCCTCTGTCAGATGAAACTAATGGCCCTCTCTCTTACTCTCTCACACACTGCCAACAGAGACTCAAACCCTCACACACGCTCACCACCAATTCACACATATCCCAATTTGACTGCCTCCGTAGCTTACATGAATTCACACTGCAGAGGAATGCTGTGCAGTGCAGGTTGAGAAGAGGCATTTATTCTTCCTGCTCATCATGTGTGTGAGTGTGTCAGTGTTGGATCAGAATTGACGTTTGTGGTTGTAACTAGGGATGTCCCGATCCGATCACGTGATCGGGGATCGGAGCCGATCACGTGATTTTCACGTGATCGGGGATCGGGAGAAAAAAATCGGGGATCGGATTTTTTTTTTTTTTTTTTTTTTATAAAATATTTTTATACATTTTATTTAATGTTACAAAACAAAAATGACCATGTTCACGTCTTAAAGTCATCCTGAGGCCTTAGTTTTGGGTTAAAATTACACAACATCATGTATGTGTTGCTTCTTTTGGGCTTGTTTTCATAGACCTGGTTGCTTATTTCTCTCAAATCTGGCAACAGAGTGGGCGCAGTGTCTAATAGTAGCAGTAAGCTAACAAGAGGCTACGTTCAGCTGGTGACTCGGCAGTCGGGACAGAGAAAATGTCAGGAGTTTGGAAGTATTATAAAATTGAAAGCGAAGGCAGTGTAACAGCCAGATGCAATGTTTGCAAGGCGGAGGTTCCGCGTGGTGGAAAGAACAGAGCTACGTTCAACATGACCAATCTAATACAAACACCACCAACAACAACACGACGAGTACACAGCGGCCACTCAGGTAACGGCACTGAAACAACCGACACTTTCAGAGACTTTTAAAAGGAAAGAGAAACTACCCCAGAACAGTGAAAAGGCCAAAAAAATAACAGCCAAGATAGCTGAATTCATCACGTTGGATGACCAGCCGTTATCTGTTACCTTTTTTTTCCTCTTAATGCATTGCATAAAGATCGGATCGGGAAAAATCGGTATCGGCAGATTGTCAAAATCAAATGATTGGAATCGGATCGGGAGCAAAAAAAGGTGATCGGGACATCCCTAGTTGTAACACTCGTTAATAGAGGACACGCACTGGTCAGACACACTTTCTAACTTCCCATAGGTGTCATCACTATATGTCTGTCATGCTATTGCTGAACCCAAGAAATAAAACAGCAGTAAAGTGAAAGAGAAATGTGATAAAAAAAACAGTCATCTGCCGAGAAGTCTTTTTTGTGAAACAGCTGCCACAGTTAAAACAAAGTGGCACGGCTGGTGAGGCCTCAAGGATTGATGAGTGTGAGGTGGAGTGAGGGCGGGTGTTAGGAGATTTCTAGCAGTTAGGAACTCTATATTAAACTCCAGCTGGGTTACCTGACACTCGACTTTAGATGCCCTCGGTAAAGCCTGCCTGACCTCTAAGCTTTGAAGCTAAAGTGGAAGGTGGGGCCAAGCTCTATAATTAGGTTTTTGTTTAGTCTTTGTGTCGTTTAAAAAACGTCCACTTTTACAAACAAAAAAAGAGCTAAATATAAAACACTGGAAAATAAATGTGGATTTATCCATGGAGTCAGGTTTTGGGGATTTACTGAGCTGAAGACGTGTTTACTAATAATGTGTGATCGATGGGCTCATTGACACTGACAAGCATACAGACAAACATCTGGTCTGCAGCTGTGTGGAAAACACCTGCGGGACACATCCAAAGTGCTCAAACAGGCCAGGAGACTCGGCCCAGAGTTACTCCTTCCCAAATAACATGACCTCAGCACTCTGTGGTCCTCACAGATACTCCCAGTGGTCCCTAAAGATGAATTCACCCTCATGGTATCTAGCCCAGAAGACAGATTACATCAGTCCTCCTAACCAATGCCAGCGGTTTCAGGCCACATTCAAGGCTTTTTGTACAAGTAGAGGGGCTTGGCCGTGACACATCATACAGGGAGGAGATCAGGACATAACATGGCAGTAATGGGAGAGGGAAAACAGGACGGTAAACTATACATTATTGTGAGACCAAAAGAAGTCCATAAAACATAAACATGATGGCCTAGTGGTAAAGGAGACAGTTAACCACAAGGTCAGAAGTGTAATCTCTGTTACTCCGTGATGGATGATATGCAAATGTTCCACAGCCTAATCACTCATAGTTAGTATTTCTAGAAAAGATGATCAGTACTAAATGGCATTCTATCAAAATGAAATGAAGACGTTATAATAAATCGAAGTACCTTACTTGCTGTAGCAATTAATAAACACAGAGAAGCCATTTAACAGACCACTGGTGGGCTAAGTATGTGTGTAGGAGCCATCAATGACAAGTAAAGAGGAGACTATTTTCTGTGAGTTACAAAATCACTTATTTTCACCAGAAAGCAAACATGTGTGCTATTTGCAAACTCCAATGCAATTCAAAACAGCCATCCTTCAGATAACAAGAGAAAGTAAAAGTGTGAACATGTGACATTGTTCCACAACAAAAAACAGCACCACCGCCCCCTCCTCCCTCTAATTCTATTTCCTCTGGCTGAAATGCCACATTAACATAAGGGGGGGGGGCCGGGCTGGGCCATCGGTGGAGACGTGCAGCATTTGACAACCTCTAATTTCAGCGTGGCAAGTCTATTCTGAAGCGCTGTGCTCATCTAAAAATTACCCCCTGCCTTGAATTGACGACAAAATCATTTGTGTAGCTGTCCACCCCGGCAGAAAAGGCCTTTGTAAGAAAGACACCAGATCACCATCTTGCAAAGAAAAGGCAAAAATAGGAAGACAATCCGAGAGTAAGAGAAGGGTAGGCTATCAAAAGTGAGATATTTTCTTGAACTTTGGCATTGTACGGGTTTAACAGCTATATGAGGGGAGGTAACAGACCCCCGCCACCACTTTACTCCCCTTCAGCCGTCTCTCGGCTCAGTGGCAGTGTGTCATCCTCAACCTGACTCAGCAGACCACACACACAAGAGCTGTCTCTGTAAGAGCTGTCTATTTACCTATGGGGGCTGGCTGAACACACACACACATACACACTCGGGAAGAGATTAGAATATCTCTGTTTAGAGTTTCACCCAGACATCTGTCAGGGAGAAACAAGAATCAACCTTGAGAGAAGTTGGAGGGCAGAGTGGAGGAAGGTTTGATGAGGCAGAGACGGGGGGAAAGGGAGAATTATAACAGTGCTGAGCAAGCAGAGCACAGTTGTACTTGACTGACACCGAGCCTCCATGTAAGTTGAAACATATTTCAGTTTATCTTTTTATTTTTGCTCAATGTCTACCCTTTTTTTAAAACCTGCAGTGGAAATAGGAAATGTCACCGGCAGATCTATATGCCCTCTGAAAGCTGAAGAAAGGAGACGATAACTCCTAATCTCTTTGGTGATCAAAGTGAAGGGGAATACCCAAAAGGAAGTTAATAGGAGAGGGCAATGGCAGTAGGTCGATAGACAGGAATTCAAGTGTAGTCTGAAAAGTTACATTTAAAAGTTCATTATTGACCTTGATAAACCTATAATATTTAATAACTTGACTCAAGGTGTACTAAAAAGCTTTCCTGGAGCTAACATAAACAGCCACCTGTTACCACGTGACACAAGTTTAATACTTTGGTTCCATGATGACAGCTGAGCCATTTTCACCAACAACAAATCTTATCTGCTAAGAAAGATTGTAAAATAATGGAGGTAAAGTAACCATAAATTATCTTTTTTAGTAAGCATATTTGTCCTATGATAATGGTTTAATGAATACCAAGCCATTACTTTATGGCTACTAGATAGTCCTTAATATATGCCCATCATTAAACACTCTAGGTTTTAAGCAGCTAATAGTCTGTAGAATACAATCTCGATTTAACCAAGACACTGATGAGGTAAACATGGCTAAATTCTTAGAATTGCAAAAATGAATTTACTGATGAGCAAAATGGAGTATGTCGACATCATGTAATGATGCTTAAGAGCAGCACGCCAAGCAAATCATCTGCACAATTTGTGCTTTTGCGTAACTCCCACCACATTCGCGATTGGTTCTTCACCGGGCAGACTACATGTGAAAACGCAACACGTGCAAAAGGCTGATTTCTAACCACAAAGAGACTATAACGCCTTGATAGGGCAAAGAAGAACTAGGTCTAGACTGGAGAGCCATGTGCACCAGGGAGGGACGGAGAGAAACAAATCCATTATGTGAATCCGCACATCTGAGTGAATTTTGACGGACTCAGCCACCGTGAACTCGGCACCATGGGATATGGAGGCTTTTCCTTTATTTACTCAGCCTCATGCTCAAAACATGATCACACAGAAGTGGCACCGGCAGAACCAAGGAAATAGTTCAGAAGCGGTTGAGAGGGGGGAGGGGAAAGGCATACGAAGAACAGCCAAATGAGGTAAAAATATGTTCTGATATTGCAGCTTCTCCGTCCTTATGTGATCTAATCAATGGAAACG